AGAAAGTGGTTATAATTTGAGGGATGAAAATACGAAAAAAAAAAGCCAACGTGGATGATGGATCATGATGTAAGTAATTCAAGTTCTGATGATGATAATGCTCATTTTGCATTGTTTGTAGACAGTGATCCAATTACATATGATGAGGTCATTAAAGAAAAGAAATGGAGGAAAGTAATGGACAATGAAATAAAGTCCACCGAGAAGAATCACACTTGGGAGCTAATTGACTTGCCCAAGGGACAAAAAACCATTGGTGTTAAATGGGTTTTCAGGACAAAGATGAATGAAAAAGGAGACATCGATAAGCACAAAGCTCGTTTGGTGGCAAAGAGTTATAAGCAGAAGCATGGCATTGATTACAAGGAAGTGTTTGCACCAGTTGCAAGGCAAGATACAATCAGGTTGGTGATTTCACTAGCAACACAAAATTCATGGTCAATCTTTCAGTTAGATGTGAAGTTAGCATTCTTGCATGGTGTTTTGCAAGAGGAAGTGTATAGTGACTAGCAATCTAGTTATGAGAAGAAAGGGAAGGAAGAAGAAGGTGTATCGATTGAAGAAAGCACTCCATGGACTAAAAAAAGCACCAAGAGCTTGGTACAGTCGCATAGATGCTCACTTTGCCAAGCTGGGATTTCAAAAATGTCCTTTGGAGCACACTTTTTAAGTCAAGACAGAAAAAGGAGGTAAATTGCTCATTGTCTGTTTGTATCTTGATGACTTGATATTCACTAGTAATGATATTAAGATGTTTGCTGAGTTTAAGAAGTCAATGATGGAGAAGTTTGAAATGACTGATATGGGATTAATGCATTATTTTCTTGGATTTGAAGTCATTCAAACTACTAATGGTAATTTTATTTATTTATCAGAGGAAGTATGCACAGGGCATTCTTGGAACATCAATTGAGTATGGTTTAAAGTTGTGTAGGTCGACAACACTTTCTTTAAGCAAATAATTGGTAGTCTCATGTATTTAACCTCCACGAGACCTGATATCATGTATGCAGTGAGTTTGATTAGTCGATACATGGAAAACCATCTGAGATGCACTTTGATGTAGCTAGAAGAATGCTCAAATATGTGAAGGGGAGAGTTGATTATGGCGTGTTTTATAAAAAGGCCGATGGTGCTAGTTTTGTTGGTTATACAGATAGTGATTGTGCAGGTGATATAGATGATCGTAAGAGCACATCAGGTCATGTATTTATGCTAAATTCTGGTGCAATATTGTGGTCCTCTAAGAAACAGCAGATAGTGACACTTTCCACAACTAAAGCTGAATTTGTGGCAGCAGCTTCAAGCTCTTGTCAAGTTGTGTGGCTTAGAAAGATGTTAGAAGTACTTGGTGATGAGCAAAAGGGTCCAACAATCATCTATTATGATAACATGTCAACCATCAAGCTGTCAAGAAATCCAGTTATGCATGAGAGGAGTAAACATATTGATGTTAGCTTTCATTTTCTGAGAGATCTGTGCAAGAATGGAAAGAATGAATTGCAATATTGTAAGAGTGGAGAAAATGTTGCAGATATTATGACAAAGCCACTGAAGCAACTTGTGTTAGAGAAGTTGAGGAACATGCTTAGAGTTTGCTCATTTCAAAGTATTGATCAAGGAGAAACTGCAGATGAAGAAGACTATGTGGTGGTCAACAAATCCTAAATTGTTTTCAGTAGAATCCGTTGAAGGGAGAATGTTAAGAGTTATTTAGTTATGTTTAATTAAGTTTTAATTAAATAAAGCTGACTTGGTAACTCAGAGTCCATGTCAAGTAGGATTCCTAGTTTTTTGGAGTCCTAGTTGAGGTTGTGCACCACAATTAGAAGTGTTCCATTGCTTTCATTTAGTTCCACAAAATCTGCACAAGTTGAGTTAGTGTTTAACGTGCAGCCTAGATCAATTCTAATTAAGTTTTAATCTTGTTTCATTCAGGAATGAGTATTTTCCAGTTTTTTATTTCAATAGCTTCAAGCTTTCAATTATTTTTGAGTTCCAACATCCAACCATCCTTTTCCGCAACTCTCTCTCGATGGTGGATTTGATGACTAAGTTGGAAATCATGGTGGAGAAATTGGGTCGCCACCCATCTTCGAGCTTGGTGAGAAGCCGAATTTGCGACATACTTGGACGGAGTGGCACTCAAAGGTCTGACCCGAAGAGATGAGGACCAAGAAATGGAGATCTTCCACCTGTGATTGCCATTACCCATACCCAAAGAGGAAGCTGTGGAGATGTGAGTTTGTGCAACGATGATGGAGAAGACACGAGCGTATTTTCGTTTTTTTATATATTATTTTTAATTGAAAAATGAAAAAGTTAATTGTTAAGTTAGCTGACATGTGTCAACAAACTAGTAGGGGGACATGAGGGAACACTCAATTTTGGGGACAGCAGATCCGCTCCCCTCACATGGCGCCATCGCCACACAATAATATTTTGACATAAACAACTTATCATAGCAATGAGGGAAACGGGAAAAAAAATTAGAACACAACAGTGACTCAATCTATGGAAATTATAAGAAGCAATAAATATGGGAGCATGTTAAATAATTACCCAAAGGGTGCTATTAAACAAACCCTAAAATTAATTGAATACACCCTATTACCAAACTATTTATTGAATTATTAATTTACCATAATATATATTGTTAGTTGAGTCTCTAATTCTCTAGTGGGGAATGCAACAAGATCGACACATGTTGGTTACAAAAGTTACATTTTAAGAAATATTTTTCATTTTTTGGGCTAGAGGAAGAAAGTGACTTGGGCTCTAGCCCTGGTTATGCGTTTATCAACTACAATAACTCTGCTTTACTATAATTGCATTTATATTTATTCACAAGAAGCATGGTCAAGCTAAACACATATATATATATATATATAATTTTTTTATTTTTTTTTAATGAAGCTAAGCACATGTTTAAGTTGTGTTTAATTGTGGGCTTAGGAAAAGAGTGCTGCTAAACTAACCCTAAAATTAACCAAGTACACCCTACTATCAAACTACTTATTGAATTACTAATTTACCCTAATATAAAATGACCAAAAATGATATATTGAATTGTGAAATAAATATAAATTTAATAAGTACACTCGACTAATGACCATATTCAACCCTAATCAAAGGAACATTCTTGCTCATCACTTTAACCCAATGCATGTACCCTCACCACCCTTCTTAAAAATTGACATTCCTCTTCTCCTGGCCTTTTGGACTCGTTTATGGATGGGCATAAGATATATATAGGTGACCACGAGGTTCCATCTTCTGCCCCAGAAGTTTTGCAGAGAAGTGGAGAGGTATGCCTCGTTGAAATGGGATTTGAGATCTAAACCCAAATGGCTCCAAGCGAGGGTTGCTACAATGATTAGTTGGATTTCTCTATATATATACAAACAATGAAGGACTAAGATGAGCTTTGGGTGGATGCGCTGACTGTAACTAAGGACACCAATTACAATAGCCAAAAGGAAGCCATACATGATCTAGGGGCAAATTGTGTCCTTCGCCATTTGTATGGGGTTCTGGTGGAGGTGGGTTGATTTCAATTTCAGGATTTTGAGATTTTGGAGGTGGGTTTTCTCTATTTATATGGGATTTGGAGGAGGATGGGTTGGTTTGGAGGGCAACAAGTTCAATCCACAAATTAAGAAATAAATAAAGAAAATCATAAGGATTTACAAGATTCAAACTTTGAATTGCAGGAGATAGCAAATTTATTCCAACAATAGCTTACGAAATTAAAGATTTTGATGCAACCCCAAAATTTGAATAGAGGGCACGAATTCATGTAAAAAGAGAAACCTAGATTTGTATTAGGGTGTTGTGTGATAGTGTATTAGGGTGTACGAAGGGTATTTTTGGTAGTTAAATAGGGTGTACTTAGTTAATTTTACATTTTGATTTAAATATTAAGGTGTACTTAGATCATAGGGTGTACTAAGTAATTTTAGGATTCGTTTAGCAGCACTCTTAGGATAATCATCCTAATTAGTATTACCAAGAAGCTTCATTCAAGTGCTGTTGATTGATAGAAACCCTTCAACCTTAATCCAATGCCAAAGAATCAGAACTATTAGGCCCTGTTTGGTGAGCTAGACTGGATGAGATATTTCCAATTAAAATGGACATGGATCCAAACCATTTTTTGATGGACATAAATGTATCTCAGATTAGATATGGCCTTCGGATCCATGTCCCAAATAACTGGGTTTATGAAACCCAACCCCAGATGTGGGTTTACAGTGAAACCTCTGCCGCCATCTCTCTCCTTCCCATCCATCTCGTTGCCTTCTATATTCTCCTATTTTATATTCTCTATTCTCTCTCTCTCTCTCTCTCTCTTCTGTCCAATCTCGTTGGTCTCTCTCTCTCCTTCTACCCATCGCTGGAGTCATCGCCTCTGTAGTATGCTCTCTCTTGCAGGGCATCGCCGGAGCAGTCTAAAATTTGAAGAAATCTCAGTTGTCTATCATGTTGACTAACCTGGTACCTATGTATAAATCCACTTCCAAAACAAAATCAAACAAAGCCCAATAGCCGCAGGAATTAGAGAAAACAAATATGAAGAACGAAAACAACTAGCAATAGATTATATTTTCTTTTCTTTTCTGTTTTTCAAAACTTTATATGAGTTTAATTTTCTATATTTTTTTAAATCTTTATATGAGTTTGATTTTCTTTTAATTTTTATTTTTTAAAGTTTGATTTTTGGGTGATGTTATGAGTTGTCTTCTTGATTTGTTTAGGATTTTGCATATGATTCCAAGGTTTTTCTTCAATCTGAGGGAAAAAAGTTAGAATTTTGAATTGTTAATAAAAAATAAAATAAAAATCTGATTTATTAAAAAAATAATAATTCAAGTCTGTTGTTTGGTGCAAAAATAAACTGGATTGGACTCAAAGCGTAGCGAGTGCAAGCCAGACCAATCTAGCGCTTCGAAGTCCATCTTAACCAATTCAAGCCAGCCCACCAAACTAGGCCTTATTTCTTATTGAAACTGGATTTACAATGACATGCCCTAGAATGAGCATAAGCCCACTAATATAATCGCTTTCCAGTTAAGCAAATAACAGCTGTTAACTAACAAAACAAATTGCCAGCTAACTAACCAATTGCCTAACAAAACCTTGCCAGCTCAGCTAACATACAAAAAGACCATATTAACCCTGAGAATCCTATCACTGATTAATGCACAAAGCTACAGATCTCATCTCCGAACTGAATGTTGAATATTATTGGTTTTCTGTAGCGGATGGGACTAGGCACCTGCACCTGTAAATTATATCAACACATGAATCTACTGAGTCAAAGAGTCGTTGTAAAGATAACATAATCTAAAGATACGCGTTTAAGTACAGTAAAAGGATTTGTTGGTTGTTGCAAAGTTAGGCGTCCTTAGAAATATCCAACGGAGGTAAATTTGGACCACATCCTTGCACAGCAGGGTGAAGGAAGGTGAGGCCCATTGAGTTTACAAACACTGAAAAAGACAAACCAGTCTTAATATTAATTTATTGAGCAAAAGTCCCAAATGTACACGTCAGAAACCAAAGGAAGCTGAAAACTGAAGTTCCTCTCCTCCTCTTAAACTTCATCACATTCACAACTGCAACCAACAACTTAGTCTTTGGTCTGAGTATGGCTCCTATGGCCAACCAACAAGGACATTCTTCTTCTTCTTCTTCTTCTGTAACTCAAGATCCATGGACATATGATGTGTTTGTGAGTTTTAGAGGTAAGGATACACGCACCAATTTTACAGATCATTTGTACAAGGCCTTGTCCGATAAGGGGATCTACACCTTCATTGATCGTGAGCTTATAGGAGGAGAAAAAATCTCACCGGCCCTTCTTGAAGCAATTGAAGAGTCACGAATTTATCTCATTGTATTCTCTGAAAACTATGCATCCTCAAGCTGGTGCTTGGACGAACTCGTTGAGATCCTTCGATGCAAAAGCTCAATGAATCAAATAGTTTGGCCCATTTTTTACAAAGTGGATCCTTCGCATGTACGGAACCAAACAAATAGTTTTGGTGATGCATTTGCTGACATGAACTGCAGATTTAAGGATAATACGGAGAAGGTGCTAAGGTGGAGGAGTGCTCTTAGAGAAGCAGCAAGTTTGAAAGGATATACTTGCAAGGCGGGAGAGTATATTTCTACCCTCTATAGTGCACATATATATGGTTAATTTAGTGGCTTGATTCTATATTTCAGGGTCATCTATCTTTTTCAAGTTTAATTTTTTTCTCTACTTTTTCCTTTGGTTATATTTAATTGTTACGCATTCAAAAAAGTACTGTTTTGATAAAAATAGAAAACTGTAGGCAGAATATTTTTCTCAATAGCTGTAGGGAGAAGATTCAAAACCCATATATATTAGTCTCTCCAAAAGCCGTACTAGTCAATATTGTTTTTAGTTAAAGAACTATTAGGCTCGTCAAGCAGGGGTACCACAGTGGTGGCCCTCCCCCTTGCCGGTTGCTTGGCACCCAGGATCGAATCCCCATGGTCTTTCCTACCAATGTAACGAAAAAAAAGAACTATTAGGCTCCATTTGGATGGAAGGATTCCAATTGATGGATTTAGATGAAATTATAAGGTAAACTTGTTTGTTTAGACGAGTAAAATTCATGTAGGTTAAGATTTGAACAAGAGAGAAATGAAGAAGATAAATGGATTTCAAATTATTCCTTACATGTAGTCAATTTCAAATCTATTTTAAAGGCACGACATCTAGTTATTCCAAATTCCTTCATTCTAATATCGTTCTTGTTTTTGCAGCAAATTTAGTATTATTCTCAAATCCAAATCCCTTCTTTTAAATCCCTCCATCCAAACGGAACATTACTTTTGCAGACTATCCAACCAAACTCGGTGGAATAGGGCAGTAGGCTGAATACTACCTTGTGTTCATTGCGTGCTTGCATGTTTACATTTTATTCCTTAAATGTGTCAAATTTTTTAAATGGTAGGTCTGAAGCTACATTTATCAACCACATCGTTGAAGAGATTGTAGTC